AACACAGCTGTGCTTCTTTGTGGTGTTCACCAACTGACCCAAAGAGTGACTTCAGCATAGGAGGGTTAATAATCAGAATGGGGACCTGCAAAACACCCAACCCTCCCTTGGCTGCATATTTATCGAGATATTGATCCCGGCCCTGTTATCGTTTGTTTTATTCCGGAGACTTTCTGCAAGGCTCTGGGACTTGTACCTGTTTTGTTGCTTTGCCGCATTAGTTTTACCCCTCCCTCTTCCCAACTCTGGGCGCCTGTCTCCACGTCCGCTCTCCAGAGATGAACCAACAGGCTGCTGCAGGTCACTATTCACTGCTGGCGCCTGACCGTGAAAGTACAGCTGCGGCTTCGGATGATTCTGACCTCTAAACAGACCCCGCGGAGACCTCATTCCGCGCCCTCTGACCCCGGCAACCCCTCGCTGGCTGTGCAAGCCAAAGAACTCCTCCTGGTTGAAGTTGCCTGGGATGGCTGCAGGCAGATAGAATTCGCCTCCATATGCGGGCTGATAGCTACCGGTACTGGCCTCAAACGCCTGGCTGAAATTTTGGCGGTATCTGCCCCGTTCCCTCCTACTGAATGGTCTGCCACGAGCACCATGCCCTGTGTATGTTGGGTCTGTCGGACCATAGTTCTGGGTGTAGAGGTACTGCTGGTAAGGTTGGAAGTTTTGCTGTTCGCTATAATGATACTGGGGTGTGTACGACTGCGACTGTACAGGATGGAATTCAGGCGCTGTCTCACGTAGCTTGGATTCTGCCATCGGAAAACTGAACAACAGGAAAGAAGAGAAACAGTTGAACCCAGCTGGAATACATGTATGTGCCAGGACTACCACTGCATTTGTAGCAATGTAATGGTATGATCATATCAAGGCCTCAGGACTGAAAAAAGTCACGTCTGAACTAGGCTTAATGTTACAATCATCGCGGTCCTCTGCAGTTGCAAGGGCAGGGCAGGCATGTCTGGAAGAATTTCAATTTAAACTCAACAATTTTCTAGATTGCCCCAAACAAATATCACCAAGTTTAAAAATGTGCACCGTTTGTTTAGGGGAATATATTTTACAAACGAAGAAAGGGCATTAAACTTTCGGGGGAACATGTTTGAACATTGAATTTAGTCAACATTATGGTGGAGACGGTAGCAATACTGAAGGGAATGTAAATTTTACTAGATCGGTCATAATGCTCCTCTCATTGGAGCTAGGCTGGGTGAAGACTGTCACTGACTATACTGGAGTTACAATCCAAAAATTGCACATTTAATTCATGCTACTACATGTATCTAGCATGCAACAGATCCGGGGATTGTGACTTTGGGGACCCCCCCCAAGATTTTGTCATTTTAATATGTACACAACTGGCCATTCCCCCGAAAAACTGAAGGCAATGTGGTCTGAACTGCCCCGACCCTATTTTTGGCAATTTCAAATTGTAAATTGTGAGAAAATGCAACTTTCCTACAGTACTGATAAAGATTGTGGGTCAACTTGCCCCCAGGCCAACTCGCCCCTTACCAGCTCGCCCCTTACCAACTCGCCCCTGACCGACTCGCCCCTGACCGACTCACCCCTGGCCAACTCGCCCCCTAACCAACTCGCCCCCTAAGTTTGCCAAGCACGTATGGCTGGCCCATTCACCACTTAATTTTAAAAAATATACAATCAGTCGGAGATGGAATCGGTGATTGCTGCCCGCAAAAATAGGTTCTGGGGTTTGCAGCGGGCACTCAAAGAGTTGAGAATTATGACAGTTAAACTGTTTAAAGCTTGGTGGATGTTCACTTTCTGTGGAATTTGGGGTAAAAATAGTTTTGTTTAATATTGGTAAAACTACTTCAGTATTATCATGTATCTGCCCAGCTGTGACGCGTCCCTTCTGCAGACCTCTGTCACATACCCAAATATTAATGGGACGGAGGGTTCAAAGTTGTTGATCCTGAGGGTATGTTGGATGTACATGTACAAATAACCTAATCAGACAGTGGACGTGGGAAGCGCTAAGACGTTTGAATAAATAAGTGATTAGTGGTGATGTCCAAATATTCATCACCGTCCGTGAGTCATTCTTGTCGCGTCTTTGGTTAGAACCATTCAGGTTTTTTTACACATTGGGCAGGCCATACTTGCCTGACGTTCCTGGGGGCGAGTCGGTCGGGGGGTGAGTCAGCCAGGGGGCAAGTTGGTAAGGGGCGAGTCAGTCAGGGGGCGAGTTGGAAACCAGCCATGCAAATTTGACTCCACCAAGTGTCATGTGTTAAAACACCCCCAGTTTCCTCATTATTTTCCCCCAAAAACTCAAAACCCTGCCCTCTTTTCACAAGATCAACAGTACAGTTATTGAGCAGTCATCTACCTAGGCCTAGTACATGTAGTAGGGGAATCCAAAACTACTAGGCCTAGGTAGATGACTGTCATGACTGTGACTTTAAAATGTACATGTAGGTCTCCCTAGGAACATGAGTCGTGAGGAACGGGGTCCCCAAATTCACAATCCCCACAAATCCCATATTTCATCCAACATCTGTGTACCTACACCTACCTCTTTTCACTCTAGGATGTAGGCCTATGCTCCCTTGGTGAATTTAAGCAACTGGAGAAGAACACGTAACAACGTGATTGCACAACTCTTTGAACATGTTGAATGAGATCATCAAGATTGCGTGCTCGCGGGGCTAGTCTGGTCTGTGTATGCAGCTAGCACTAGCATGCACACGGTCAGAAAATGCACAGCGCCCTCTTGTGAAAAGTGCTATTGCAACGCAACTCAAGTTTTCGTCACATACTTCGAGTCATGGGCGTAACTCTCGGGGGGGGGGGATATATTCCCCTCATATAGGTGTGTTATATGGTATCAGCAACCCCCCCTTCAAATTTTTATGGCTGGGCAAGTCACCCTCTTACCACCCCCATTTATGGCACCGCTTTAAGTTAATAGTTCTCCCCTTGCGCAATTTGTGTTGTGTTTGAAGAGTACGATGGGGCCCAACTTCTATCCAATTTCAATTACTTTTCGCTTCTACAACCTATAAAAACGGAGTCAAACACAAATGCATACTTTATTCCCATGATTTCATTCTTTATTTCCAATTCAAGTATTCCTATTTAAATATTTTATTTCAAAGTTCATAAGAAGGTGGTCTCATACAAATTCATTTTGAACAAGTACGCATGCATCTAGAAAAACCAGATGCATTTAATCATCACTCACATTCCGACACCAAATTAAAACCCCTGAAACTACCATTTTTATCAACACTTACTTTGTAGTATTAGAATAAAACTCAAGTGATTGAAGTTGTTTTGGTATTTTAACGACAGTATTTACAATGCAGTATTTCAACGGGTTATACTCTAACGTTTACTATTGAAATTGACCCAATGGATCTTAATATACTTTCCTCCTTGTTAATTACTTACAACTTGCCCAAGGCCACTACATATGTTCGGCAGCTGGATTGAAACCTCCAATTCTCTGGTCATGAGTTACAAATCCTAGGAGCCAATGGCCACACTTGCCTTTTACAACTATGACTGCATCCCATAAGTGAGTCCCAAGGCCAGATTTTTCAGGTTTTTTTTTTTAGTTAACATCAGAAAGTACAAATTGCTTGATGTCTCCGGATCAGTCAGTTTGGCATCACGATGAGAATAGAAACTATCCTGGTAAAAACAGCACAGGTTCCCATCGATTTACAGCTTGCAAAATTCTCCTATAAAAGGTCTTTTACATGACTTCAGCTTAGGTGGCTCTGATGACTTAAGACTCACTTGGCTATTAAAGTCAGAGTCACAACTACTTACTACACCTACAACAGAATTTGTAAAAAACTTCGGATTACAAGTTACAACAAAATTTAAGGCAAACTTAACTTTATTGCAGTCCTCTTATCCTAATTTTCAACATTCCCCATTAAAGCAAAATCGATACCAACTTGGTATTAATTCACTGTGGTATTTGTTAGAAAGCACTGGCCATTTTACTGTTATACCACGAAAGCTTTCAGAACATAAATCATCAGGCAGGAAACTTTGGTCTGTGCCGGGCATAGGTAATTGAACTCTCAACACAAGAGCAGTTCTAGTCAACTAAAACAAGTGTTTACTGACACAATACATTCTGCAACAAGACAAAAGATCTATCCTGCCGCTCAACAAACACATCCACAATGATTATACATTCATGGCTGCATGCTCTGAGCTCTGACTCTCTGAAGTTATGCACAATCAAGAACATTCTTTGTTCAATCATACACACCCATCCATTTCAGCATCCAGCAAAAATATGTGAACTATCTGAAGGAAGATTACAAAGTTGTACAAATCTCTTCACACAGCCACACATCCATAATCACATTTTATCCAGAAAACAACAATGGTCCACAGCACTTTGGTTGCCAGACCAATGCTTCTACAGGCATGCTTAAAAAGCTTCGCTCAACTCCAATGTAAGGCCAAGTCAAATTCACTTGGCTATGTCTCTAAACAACACATGTACATGCGTATGTATGGAAATGGTTGATGCCACTAGCCATAGCCATGTAAATTGGACAAACGGCTGATTTGACCTCAGACTGTTTAAACTAGGTCTTGAATGATCATACTCCATATAAAAAAGTGCACCGTTAAAACAGAGAACAATTCTGGGACATGCATACACGATAACCCAAAGTTCTGTTTTGCTAGGAAACCTACACGCAGTTTGCATGTCTGCGAAATAAAGAACAGCTAAAACTCTGCCATCTCTGGCTGACTGAAATCACAGCTGACACAATGTTGTGGCTGATTTACATTGTCCTATAGAGTGCCAATGTGAATACGTCACACGCACAATTATGTGTGCAAAAGGCGTTAGCTCGAGAACCAGCGTGTGAACCAACACCGCATATAAGCTGTTCGTCTGCACTACACTTCCTGGTTCAATACATCACACTTGGGTACTCTATAAATCTGCTGCATGGAATTGTAAAACGACAATAACAAAGTTGACTGTATATTGAGTGCATCATCTTAACCCCTTCACGCCGGGATTATTTTGAC